CTTGACCTCGCATTCCAGGATGTCTGGCCCTAGGTAAGTGATCACACCGTCGTAGTTATCTGAGTCATTAAGGTCTTTTTTGTATAGTTCTTCTGTGTATTCTTGGTACCTCTTCTTAATATCTTCTGCTTCTGTTAGCTCCGTACCATTTCTGTCCTTTATTGTGCCATCTTTGCATGAAATGTTCCCTTGGTATCTCTAATTTTCTTGAAGAGATCTCTAGTCTTTCCCATTCTGTTGTTTTCCTCTATGTCTTTGCATTGATCACTGAGAAAGGCTTTCTTATCTGTCCTTGTTATTCTTTGGAACTCTGCATTCAAATGGGTCTATCTTTTCTTTTCTCCTTTGCTTTTCACATCTCTTCTTTTCTCAGCTATTTGTAAGGCCTCCTGAGACAACCATTTTGCCTTTTTGCATTTCTTTTTCTTGGGAATGGTCCTGTACAATGTCACAAACCTCTGTCCCTAGTTCTTCAGGCACTCTATCAGATCTAATCCCTTGAATCTATTTGTCACTGTCACTGTATGATCGTAAGGGATTTGATTAGGTCATTCCTGAATGGTCTAGTGGTTTTCCCTATTTCCTTCAATTTAGGTCTGAATTTTGCAATAAGGAATTCATGATCTGAGCCACAGTCAGCTCCCAGTCTTGTTTTTGCTGACTGTGTAGAGCTTCTCCATCTTTGGCTACAAAGAATGTAATCTAATTTCAGTATTGACTGTCTGGTGATGTCCATGTGTAGAGTCTTCTCTTGTTTTGTTGGAAGAGGGCGTTTGCTATGACCAGTGCATTCTCTTGGCAAAACTCTGTTAGCATTTGCGCTGCTTCATTTTGTACTCCAAGGCCAAATTTGCCTGTTACTCCAGGTGTCTCTTGACTTCCTACTTTTGCATTCCAGTCTCCTATGATGAAAAGGGCATCTTTTCTGAGTGTTAGTTCTAGAAGGAGCATCTAGTAAGTTTATAGTTAGTTATACCTCCATCACCACAATCCCATTGAGAACATTTCATCACATGTTAATTCCCTCTCACCCCTTCTGTGGCCATTCCCTACCCTCAACTACCAGCCCCAGGCAACCACTGGCTGGTTGAGATTTTATCATACTATTCTCTCTGTGACTTGGTTATTCAGATTTTTCTGCCTTTAACCAGGTAAAAGCTATAGACAGCTAACCCATGGGTGTTAAGCCAGAGTTTACAAACATGGAAGTGAAAGTTTCATAACGTAACCCATACCTTCAGTTCATGTGGTCTGTGGCTGAGTTGGGTTCCTACACGTGTCCGGTTAGCTCCAGACCTCAGACCCCTGTCCAACCCAAATACTGCTCCCTGTCCTGGGTTTAAATCGATAAATAAAACATTGCCTTTTACTCAGAATTATGCCACTTACCTATATTTCTGAGAAGGACTGTCCTAAAAATTATGGGGTAGAACTGAACATGGAGATTCTACTGAAGAAAATTCACTTTTTAATACCCCTCTGTGGGTTCTCACTTTGTGGTTTTCCGTGGCAGATGGCTGTGTCATTGACAGCTGAAGCTGCCTGATGTCTTTTATTCTCAGTCATGGGCAGTCAGCAAACTCAGCCTGGAAGTCTTTCAGAAACTGAATCTCCTGTGTCCCTGTGTCGATTCGGGAGCAAAGGGGCTTTCCTGTGTCTTTGAGAGAGTCCACAGTCCTCTTCTTGGCAGTGGTCCTCACTCAGGATGGATGTCAGACAGACTCACCGTGTCCTTCCTCACCAGCCTGCTCCAGCTCCCAGCTTTGGTGCTGTCTGCAGCAGAGCAGAGGAAGGTTGTGATGCTTCCGGTCTTGACTACAGCTCTGCAAGGCGAGCTGTCCTCCCTGGGCATTTTTCTTCTGAGCTTTGAAGCGGGGAAGAGGAAGGAGGGAGGCTGAGACTTTTGTGGAGCGTGTTACAACATGTTTCAACAAATTGAAACTAAAGAGGAAAAGGAATTGCTGTGGTTTTGGTCATTTCCAGTGGCACTGAGGACATTGTCTCTGGGATGGGTTTATTGCACCTGCTATGAATGAAGGACAGGAGGGGTCACCATCAGAAGGTGCCCTGCTCATGGTCTAGAAAATTCGCTTTGAAGCCTGAGATGGGACTCTCTGCCAGAATGGAAATTTCACTCCTTTCAAATTAAAGAGAAAATTCGGCAGCCAGAAGAGTCACGCTCCGGTCTCTGACTCCATCACCTAACCTCTCTTTCCGGTCCTGAGTCAGTCATGAGGCTTCTGTCTCCTGATACTTTTCCGATGTTCTTTTTTATCCCAGGAGATTTGTAAAACAAGATGCTTGGGATGTGCTTCTGTAATGAAGAATTAGACCTTTTGTTCTCTGAAAACTGTTAATAACCCTCAGGCCTGGGGTCTAGAGACAGGTGTGTACAGTACACGTGGTCCCTCTGCTTGCCCTGCCCGCACAGTCTGGCGTTAAGTGCCAGTGGTTGCAGAGTGTCACTGAACTTGGAGGCCTGGTCATGGTGAGGCCTCTGTTCAGGGTCTTCTTGGGTCACAGCTGGCTTCTTGCTTGGCTTTCTCACTGATTCCTTGCAAAGATGCCAGTTCAAACTCTTGCTCTCAATGGTGATTGTCAGCTGCTGTCTGTGGGCAGAGGCTAGGATCATAGGAGCCTGGGACTAGGTGACCTGCCAGCTCAGCTGTGTCCTTCTGGGTGAACCGCCCTGAACCCACAAAGTGAAGATAGGACCGTCTTATGAGGTGTCCTGGGTGTCATGCTGGTGACCTGAGACTGTGACTATGTCTGCAGCATTGTCCGAGGTTCCAAAAACATCACTTCCCTTCTCCAGGCATGGGGCCAGATCCTCAAGATGTAAAAGATATAAACAGTGTGCTTTTTCCAGTACTAAAAACTTTTTGAAGCTGTAATTTTAAAAATAGGGAGGGGGTTCTGCTATATTCAGAGAATTGTTGTTTCTACAAAAATTTTATCATGCAAAAATCAGACATGACTTTGAGAAACGTGGTTGAGGCAAACATTTAGAACTGTATACAGCAATAATAATCCTCGTAACAGTACTGACACGGTTCAAAAGACATGTTCAATACTAAAAATAAATATCCCAGCAAATAGAGGACCACACACACACGCGCACGCGCGCACACACAGGCCTGCACATGCAGTTTGATGGGAGGAGGGATAAGGCAAGGCCAAGGCTGCGGCATGTGATGAGGACATAGAGCACAGCGATGAAGGAGAACTTCCTGCCAGACGGTCCCAAGGCAGCGTTTGGCCAGACTGAGCCAAAGGGCAGACTGTGGGGTGAGCGGCCATTTATTCCATGTTTGTCCGTGTCCAGCTGCCTTCAGCCAGGCTAGTGTACTTGGCCTTCAGCAGTCATTTCTTGTTGATGCAAAACATTAATGTTGCAGGGAAAATTGTATACAAAACCAAGGCAACTTCTTTGTTGACAGGACAGAGTTGTAGGTTACACCTAATTTCCATTCCAGGCTGTGAAGCTTGTTACCCTAACAGATAAATAATCCTGTTTTTCATCCCACTAGATAGGAGCCTGAAACAGGAAATCTTTTTTTCTTTTTTTCTCTTTTGGCTACGCTGTGCGGCATGTGGGATCTTAGTTCCCCGACTCGGGCATAAACCCGGGCCCCCTGCACTGGGAGTGTGGAGTCTTAACCACTGGACCAGCAGAGAAATCCCTAGGAATCTTTTTTCTTTTAAACTATGGTTTAAAAAAACACCATAAAATTTAAATTTAATTTAAAATTTACCATATTTATTATTTTTAAATGTAGTTTAGTCCTGTTAAATATATTCACACTAGAACATTTCCATCTTGTTAAACTGAAACTATCCCCTCCCCCAGCCCCTAGTATCACCAGTCTATTCTAGAATAGAATAGAAACCCCCATTCTTTCTATTTCTGTGAATTTGATTATGTTAGATACTCTCTGTAAGTGGAGTTCTACAGTACTTGTCTTTTTGTGACTGGCTTATTTAGATGAGTCTGTCTTTGAGGTTCATCTGTGTTATAGCATATGTCAGGATTTTATGAACCATGAAATCTTCTGAGAAGATTTTAAAAAATGAAATCTTAAACACCTTTTTGAATCCTGGATTTATTTGCACGAGCCAGGCTGGAAGGGTGGGAGGTGAGGGCCTTCCTGTTTCACTCATGCGATGAAACATCTTAATTGAGTTTATCTCCTTTTCATGTGGTTCTCCTAGATTTTCCTCTCAACTGTCTAGCATAATTGGCTCTTTTTAAAGTATTTTTAAAAGTTTATTTATTTTTGGCTGTGCTGGACCTTTGTTGCTGCACATGGGCTTTCTCTAGCTGCAGAGAGTGGAGACTTCTCTCTAGTTGCCATGCAAGAGCTTCTCCTTGCGGTGGTTTCTCTTGTTAAGAGCACAGGCTCTAGGCCCAGGGGCTTCAGTAGTTACAGCGCTTAGGCTCAGTAGTTGTGGCTCCCGATCTCTAGAGGGAGCCACATAAAATCCTGACATATGCTATAACACAGATGAACCTCAAAGACAGACTCATCTAAATAAGCCAGTCACAAAAAGACAAGTACTGTAGAACTCCACTTAAAGAGAGTATCTAATGTAGTCAAATTCACAGAAATAGAAAGAATGGGGGTTTCTAGTCTATTCTAGAATAGACTGGTGATTACTAGGGGCTGGGGGGAGGGGATAGTTGTAGTTGTAGCTCATGGGCTCTAGAGCATGGGCTCAGTAGTCGTGGCTCACATGCTTCATTACCCCTCACCAAGTGAAATCTTCCTGGACCAGGGATCGAACCCTCATCCCCTGCGTTGGCAGGAGGATTCTTAACCACTGGGCCACCAGGAAAGGCCCATAAATTTACTCTTAAATACAGTTGTTTTGTGTTACAAGTCAGTCATCCACAAGGGAGCTACATCAAACACCGCAGGGCCCAGTGTCTTGTCACCTGGCAGGGTGTACTTCTAATGCCTGCAAGCCTTTGACACGCAGGTCTGTGTGCTTCGTTCCAGAGAGCCCAGCAGTACGCCCAGCAAGTCCTGCAGAAGGAGTGCCGGCCCCAGTTTGCCAAGAGGTCGATGGCACAGCTCTTTGGGAGCAGGTATAGCTTGGACCTGCCACCGTTCGTGATGAAGGTCCCCGCAGAGAGCGAGGCTGAGTACAAGTACGACCCTCCTTTCGGATTCCGCAAGTTCTCTGGGAAAGTCCAGACCCTCTTGGAACTCTTGCCAGAGCATGACTTTCCTGAACACTTGAGAGTCAAGAGCTGCAAGCGTTGTGTGGTCATCGGAAGCGGCGGGATCCTCCACGGACTGGAGCTGGGCCACGCCCTGAACCAGTTTGATGTCGTGATACGGTACGGTGGCTTGAAGACCAGCCTCTGTCCTCTAGGCTGTAGCTCACTGCCGTGGGTCAGGGCAGCACCAGAAACAGGAAGCACCCAGAACAACCCCACATGTCCCTTCCTTCCAGGGACTCACGTTTTGAGAAGTTGAAACAAAGACATGAAATGATTGGATGCTCCAAACTGTGCGGTACTGACCCTCATTTTGGTAAAAACCTTTTCAGTGGAGTTGAGGGTTGGAAGGATGGATAGATTCAAATAAGCCAGCGAAGGAGGAAGGCTGTGCTAGGCAGGGCCCGGAGGAGGATGTGGGGAAAGGGGGCGTACTTGAGTCAGTGGGACACCTGGCTTCTAGGAGTTGGACTTCGGGTGGGTGAACCTGGAAGGTGGCCCTCACTGGGACCAGAAAACACACAGAAGCATTTAAACACCAGATCGCCTGGAGGAGGGTACGGCAACCCCCTCCAGTATTCTTGCCTGGAGAATCCCATGGACAGAGGAGCCTGGTGGACAACAATCCATAAGGTTGCAAAGAATCAGACATGGCTGAAGCGACTAATCATGCTCACTACAGGCAATAGGCAGTCATCCTGAATTACAGAATTTGCTGATAGTTTGACAGTCATGTTAGGAAACACCAGGATTTCCAGTCTGAGGTCTAAGATGTTAGTGGAACCACTGGGATAGTTGAGGAAAATCTCTGGCTAGTGACGAAGGATGACAAGATCCATCGCAGACATTTTGAGCCTGAAAGTGGTGATATGTCTACATAATGCCTTTGTCACCAGTAGCTGTGATCTCAGGCAAGTTTCCTCACTGTCCTGTGCCTTGATTTCCTCATCTGTAAATGGAGGCCATGATGGCACAGAGCTCATGGGGTTACTGTGAAGACAAAATGAGTTAACAGGTGTAAAACATGTGGAACAGTGTCAGACTTGTGGTAGATGCTCGGTGAAAAATGAAAGTGTTAGTTACACAGTCATGTCCGGCTCTTTGTGACCGCATGGATAGTAGTCGGCCAGGCTACTCTGTCCGTGGAATTCTCCAAGCAAGAATACTAGAGTAGCTGTTAGGAGCGATGTTTGGAAGATATATAGGAAGGAGGAGGAGCTATGGAAGAAAGGGGCGGGGGTGTAAGAGGTTTCTAGGAAAGAACCAGACTTTTTTGTAAGGGCCAAGACAGTGAAGAAACAAGGAACAAGTTTTAAGGCAAAATGTGTGAAGTATGGGAGTGGGGTCAGGGCCTCAGGGGTGTGGAAGTTGTTGAGGTGAGGGAGGAGGTAACTGCTTCCTTCCTGTGGGGGCTGTCTGTGTGCCAGACGCTGTCATGGGCTCCGGTGGGTCTCATGCCTTGGTGAAGCCATCCTGTTAGCCAGCGTCAGAGATGAAGACATGGAGACACCATAGGGCCTGGAGTTCCAACCTGACCCTGACACTCCAAACGCAGAGTGTTGAGGCTTCCCGAACCTCAGCCCCAGCTCTGTGTGAGCAGCTGAGCGACGTGCACAGGCTGCACTGGAAGAGGTAGACGGGACCCTGTGCCCATCTTAACGGTGCACACGTGGGGTACGAGAGGAGACAAAGTGAGAGACTGGGGTGCACCTGGCCAGAGGACAGATACAGTGGACGAGAAGGGCGGCCTTGAGCTGACCTTGAGGAAAGGTGGGATTTGGCTAATGAGACAGCTTCAACAAAGAATGAGACTCTTAGGGACTTCCCTGGTGGTCCAGTGGCTGAGACTCTGCACTTCCAATCCACGGGTCCCAGGTTTGATCCCTAGTCAGGGAACTAGATCCTGCATGCCACAGCTAAGACCTGGCGCAGCCGATAAATAAGTAAAAATTAATTAATTAAAAATTTTTAAAAAGAAAAAATGAGAATATTCAGAGCACGTGACAGTGTCTGGCTTACAGGAAGCACCCAGAAGCAGGAAGCGGTTTCATCTTCTCTCACCCCGATATTGTTCACAACCCCTAAAAGAAAGGTGGTATTTGACCTTGAAGAAAGCGGGCAGGGAAATCTGGGTGAGGAGCCCTGCCTGGCAGGAGGAGAGAGAGAGAGGGAACAGGGGCTGGCTCGACGCCCAGTGATGATGGGGCCAGACTGGGAGGCATGAACGTCATGCATAGGCACTGGGAGCTAAGGAGGGAGTAAGGGAAATCAGTTGAAAAATTTTTGGTGGGTAACTTTCAGGTTTAAAGCAGTTCTACAATTAACAGAAAAGTTGCTAGAGTCATACAAAGAGCTCCCCTTTTCCAAGATTCCCCAGCTGATAACACTTGAAAACACTGGCTTTGTAATTTTCTCTCTTTATATTTTGTTATTCTTTTCTGAACCCTTTGAGAGTTAGTTGCAAATTTCAAGCTCCTTCTTTACGCCTAAATACTTCAGTGTGCATTTCCTAAGAACAAGGACATTCTGTTATAGAACTACAAGATGATAATTCAAAATAAGGAAATTAACACTGATGCAGTAGAGACTTATTTACAATCCTTATTCAGATTTCACCAGTTATTCCAGTAGTGTCCATTATTTTAAAAAAAAATGGAGGGGCTTCCATGGCAGTCCAGTGGTTAAGACTCTATACTTCCACTGCAGGAGACATGGGTTCAATCCAAGGCTGGGGAACTAGGATCCCACGTGCCTCACAGTACGGCCAAAAATTTTTTTTTAATAAATAAAGGAAAAGAGAAAGAATGTAACTGGTTCAGGATCATTCTTTACATTTAGTTGTCATGTCTAATAATATCTTTTAATACTAGGACTTAGGTATCTGAGATCTAGAAGAGGAAGTGGCAGTAGAATGGAAAAGAAAGGTTTATACAGACGTGTAAAGACCAAACAGACTTTTCTTGAGATTTCAAAACTATGTACCTGGGTGAGTGATACTGCTTTAGGAAGAATTCTTAGCCCCCAGACCATCCATACTGGCAAAGCCTCCTTCTATCTAGCAGTGGTCAGTGCCCCAAATTCCTGCTTTAATTTAAGACCAGGTTGACCCTGGTAGTTTTAGCTGGTAAAGAATCTGCCTGTCATGCAGGAGACCCTAGTTCAATCCCTCGGTCAGGAAGATCCCCTGGAGAAGGGAATGGCGACCCACTCCAGTATTTTTGCCTGGAGAATACCCTGGACAGAGGAGCCTGGTGGGCTACAGTCCTTGGGGTTGAAAAGAGCTGGACACAACTGAACGACTTTCACTTCACTTTACACTTGGGCCCAGTGCCCTCCTCGGGCCTAACCCCGTCTGTGTAACTATGGTTTGTGTCTGCTTTGCCGCGGTTTCTAGGTTTTCTTTTCTGATTATCTTTTTGAAATTCTGGCAAGAACCACTAATATCTGAGCACAATGAAAAGCTTTCAAGGAAACATTACTAATGCCCAGAGAACACACACAGTGTAATGTGTTTAGGTTGGCTTAACATGGCAGGACTAGATGGAATTGCTTGTCATTCATAGATTGGATCTGGGCCGATGTTGCGAGTTCGCAGACTGAAGATTTCGCTCATCAACACCTGGAAAGGGCAGAGCTGAGGGATAATGGGGCTGACTGGAGGGGAGGCACCCTATCCCCAGCCATACCCTCATTCCCAGTCCTTAAAAAATGTGGAAAATATGCTGCAGGAATTTTTCACATGATTAAGTGGTTAATGTCAGTTTATCTTTGTCCTTTTTACTTAAATAGGTTAAACAACGCACCAGTTGAAGGATATTCGGAGCATGTTGGCAATAAAACTACTATAAGGATGACTTATCCAGAAGGTGCACCTCTGTCTGACCTTGAATATTATTCCAGTGACTTGTTTGTTGCTGTTTTATTTAAGAGTGTTGACTTCAACTGGCTTCAGGCAATGGTCAAAAATGAAACCCTGGTAAGCACTAGAAATTCACCCATTGGATGTGTGCCTTTGTAAAAAGTGAAGGACTCTCTAATTGGAATTATAGGTTTTGGGGGGGGGGGTGTTTCATTTTTAAGTTAACATTCATGCTTTTGTGTTGTCTTTCAAATAGCCACTCCTTTTGTCGAAGCCCCTCAGAACTCCCCCTGGGAAATTACTTTCAGAATCCAAGTTGCACATGGAAACCGATATCATTACTTAGTGGAAATAAAAAGTATGGGACCAGAATTGCTATGATTGAGGTTGACCACCCAGCTGATTTACCAGACTTGAATTTACATGGCTTCTGGCTGTTTTCAGAAATTAGACCTATGTGCATGAGTATAAATTATTATCAAGGCTGCTCAGAAGAATATCCATTAATTCTCTGAGGGGTCATTTCAAAGAGCGTCTCCAAAAATGCTTTGATTGGTGGTGCTCTTGTTGGAGTCAATTCACAGCGTTCCAGAAGGGCAGATGTGGATAAGATGGCCCTGATTTGGTATTCCTTTTGTTTGTCTTTATAGTAATTGATCACCCTACTTTATGAGGCCCCCCCATTATATTGAAATAAATTTTAGAGGTAAACTTTTAAAGAGTGTGTGTGCATTTATATGCACTTGCACAAACTGGCTGACTGTAAAATTAATAGGACGTATCAAACTCTTTAGAGAAGCTTCACATGATGGAGAATTTGTCTCCAAAACTTCTTGGGGTCCTCTGGATTTCCTCTGGGTAGTTTTTCTAGTTGAAACATGAAGCACATATGAAATGATTTACAGTCAGACGAGATATCACCAGACAGGAAGTGGAGTAAGTGGATGGGGGCAGGGGCGTGGTGGGGCCTGAACACAAGTGGGCCTCAAACTGAATCTATTTACTTGATCTTCCCTGGACAAACTGATGGCTTTGGATCCTGAAAAGACCTACCATCTGAGGCCATTACCTTAAGAATTTCGTTCCCCAAACCGAAAAGAGTTGCTTCTGCCGTTCCTTTCCTTGTCCAGTGCCACCTTCCTGAATCAGATCCTTAGAGTTGCATGGCTCTGGGACTTCTCCACAGAATGCAGAGCACACACCCATGTGGGGCCAACCCACAGCTTTGCCCTCATTAGCAGGGGCCACATTCTCCCCCTCCTCCGATAACTTGATTGACTCCCGCTAATGATTGCTTGCTCTCTTTCCTTAGCCATTTTGGGTGCGGCTCTTCTTTTGGAAGCAGGTGGCGGAAAAAATTCCACTGCAGCCGAAACAGTTCAGGATTTTGAATCCAGTTATTATCAAAGAGACTGCCTTTGATATCCTTCAATACTCAGAGCCTCAGTCAAGGTTCTGGGGCCGAGATAAGGTATTTTTGTCACTGCTGATACGTAACTGTTCTTCTCTGTGTTGGAAAGGAGCCGTCTCTATGCCTTTCAGTTAAGCTCAGCTGTAGACCCAGGACCATCTTCCAGAGATGACACCTCATCGTTGATTAGATGTTCCGTGTGTGTTTATCCCTCGACATCTTGACCTTAGGTGCTCCCCATTGTTTAATCCTTTCACCCCCAGTGGCTTGTCTCTTTAGTATAGTTAGCACTTCGATCACTGAGATGTTATTTAAGGTATTCTTACTCCAGAAATCCATAAAAAGTTACTCCAAGACTCCAGAAAAGTTGTCTACATTTTAGCACTGCAGGCGACTTAAGAGAAAATTGAAATTTATCATCAGTCCCGAGGACCCTTATAAGCTGCAGTCTGTAGGTTGCCAAGAGTTGGACATGACTGAGCACGCACATGCACGCATACATAGGTGATGGTAAATAGGCAATTTCTGTAGATCAGGGGTCTACAACCTCTAGGATCTAATGCCTGATGATCTGAGGTAAAGCCAATATGATAAAAATAGAAATAAAGTGCACAATAAATGTAACATGCTTGAATCATCCCAAAACCATCCCCAACCCCCAGGTTCGTTGTCTTCCACAAATTGTCTTCCACAAAACCGGTCCCTGGTGCCAAAAAGCTTGGGCAACCCTGCTCTTGAGCAGTGCTTTTCAGTTGATGCCTGAGTCCCACACCCCAAACATTCTGATTTCATTTGTCTGTGCTGTGGTCTGTACACTGGGATTTTCAAAGTTCCTAGGTAGTTTTATTTTGCAGCCTACTCTGAGAACCTTTGTGCTATAGATGGTTCACTACAGTAGATTCTTTACCTGCAGTCTGCTTGTGTGGCTCTGGTTGGAGATGCCTTTTTCACTTGTTTCTTCATGATCTAAAGGACTGTCTGTCCTAAGTCACCTCAGTTGTGTCCCACTCTTTGTGACCCCAGGGACGGTAGCCCACCAGACTCCTCTGTCCATGGGATTCTCCAGGCAAGAATACTGGAGTGGGTTTCCATTTCCTTGTCTAGGGGATCTTCCCAACCCAGGGATCAAAGCTGCATCTCTTAGGTTTCCTGTATTGGTAGGTGTGTTCTTTACCACTAGGGCCACCTCCTGTGTCTCTAAATGAAACTTCTGTAAAACCAGTGGAAATAATTTTTAAACAGAATATTAAGCAGAACATTTATATATAAGGGAAAGCAAGGAATTTTTAAATGTGAGGTTCTGCTACCCACACCAGGGGCCTGAGATACCTCCTAGGAGGTGGGACTGATCCAGGAGGGAATTTGCAACACTGAACTGGACTCAGGAGTCCTCATCCAATAGACAGATGAGCAGCTTTGTCTATTTGCCCTTTGAACCAAATTCTAAATAAAAAGATGATTTAACACAGCTGTATAAATTTTAAATTAAGAATTCTGTGGTTGTTAAGGAAAGTAAGTATCTGAATGTTGTTGTTTAGTTGCTAAGTTGTGTTTGACTCTTTGTGACCTCATGGACTGTAGCCCAACAGCCTCCGTCTGTCCATGGGATTTCCCAGGAGAAAATACTGGAGTGGGTAGCCATTTCCACGTCTGGGAGATCTTCAGTAAGAGCTGAATCTAACTCTGGCTCCAGCCTCGGGCTTGGGTACCCAGCTCAGGTGAAACAGTTCACATGGTGGAAGTGGTTCCCTTCACAGGCTGCCATTTTCCTCTGGGGCTCTGCCCTCCATCCATGGGGAGCCCAGGAGGGCCATGTGATTCCTGCCATTGCAGGAACATGTGCAGGATCCGTGGTGCCTTTTCCCTCTCAGAGGAAAGTGGCCCTATCCCCTACCAGTGACTGTCAGGTCTCTGACTGGCTCTAGCTGGCCTCCCCTACGTGGAGCACGTGCGGTCCCCCAGAATGTGAACTTACAATTTTTAACCTGTTGGCATCACTTTTAACAAGTCAATTTTTCTAAAAAAAGATAACATACTGCAGCAAGACTCTTAAACGAAGTTATAAAGAGATTTCACTATAAATATACCTAGATTTCTATATCTTTTAAATGGCCTGGTTTCTTTATTAGATAGTATTAATAGAGTATTTTTACTTTATTTTACTCCATAGTATTTTTTAAGCACAGGCTTTGTTTGCAGGTCGATTTTATTTTTAAAATAACCTTTAAAAATTTAATTACATAAAATATGAAATTGCTAAATAGAAAAGGGTATCAGAAACAAAGTTAGTGGGGGGAAAATTATCATAGAAACAATGGGGTAAATACTCTCAAAACATTAAGTGAAAGTGAAGTCGCTCAGTTGTGACCCCATTGGCTGTAGCCTACCAGGCTCCTCTGTCCATGGAATTTTCCAGGCAAGAGTACTGGAGTGGGTTGCCATTTCCTTCTCCAGGGGATCTTCCCGACTCAGCAATCGAACCCGGGTCTCCCACATTATAGGCAGACGCTTTACCATCTGAGCCACCAGGGAAGATCTTATTAAATCAAAAAGAAAATAATGAGCCAAAAAAGAAATGGGAAAAGAATTTGAACAGACATTCACAAAAGAAATTAATTCAGCCAAGGAATAGATGATAAATTGTTCAGCTTCACCAGTAATCAAATAAAAGGGAATTAAAGCTACAATGACATTTTTTTCATGTTTTCTTAGCAGAGATTTAACAGCTTGATAATGTCCTTGTTTGGCAGGAATGTAGGTAGAATTTAAGTTGGCACTTTTTCTGGAGGGTAGTTTGGCAATGTATATATCAATTTAAAATATGAATAGGGAAATTGGAAAGGACTCTAAAATTTTTATTACTCTAAAATTTTTATTATAAGGAAATTAGACATAATCTGCAAGGCTATTCTAGGTGGTTCATCATAGCCAAGGTCAAATAGCCAAGGATTAAAATAGCCTATTGAAATTGATGCTTTCAAATTGTAGTGCTAGAGAGGACTCTTGAGAGTCCCTTGGACTGCAAGGAGATTAAACCAGTCAATCCTAAAGGAAATCAACACTGAATATTCATTGGAAGGACTAATGCTGAAGTTCCAATACTTTCGCCACCTGATGGCAAAGAGCTGACTCATTGGAAAAGACACTGATGCTGGGAAAGATTGAAGGCAGGAGGAGAAGGGGACAGCAGAGAATGAGATAGTTAAGATAGTATCACTGACTCAATGAACATGAATTTGGCAAACTCCAGGAGATAGTGGAGAACAGAGGAGCCTGCTGTGCTGCAGTCCATGGGGTCAAAAAGAGTTGGACACAACTTAGCAACTGTGACTGAACAACAACCAATTCTTGACCTGCTGGGTGCCAAGCTGGCTGCAGTGGAGAAGACGGGACACCACCTGAGAGTCCTAAGCCCATGCCACAGACAGGCTTTCTATGGATCAATTTCCCTTGGTTTCTGTTTGCAAACCTGCAAAATGACTGTTGAGTTCCTTCATAATAAGGGAGGCTGACTTGAGAGGTAGACACGGCACCCTGGGCATCAGGAAGCAGTTTGGTGGGCTCCCTGGATGTTTCCTAATCCCACCTTCATCTGTGAACTCTGAAGGGTTCCCTGTTGTCCTAGTTGACAGAAAAGGACAGTTGCTTGTAGAAGCCACAGACTCAGCTCAGATGAATATGTTAGTAGATGCAAAAGAATATCAAGTAGTAGATAGATGGGCAGTAGCCTCCAGGAAGTCTCTCTATGTTCCTGTCGGCCACCCTGTGTGTTATCTTTATCTCCAAACTGCATTGGAAATTCAGAGAGCATGCTTCTAGGTGTACTAGCGGCAAGATGTCAGACATGAAGAGGAAACTGCGATACAGTCAGAATTCAGAATTGGGACATTTGGCATTCTAGCCCAAAGTCAGTAAGGGTACATTTGAGGGGGAAAAAACCCAAATGTGAAAGCCCATAATTTGAGGTTAAAAATGTACTTGCTTGATCAGAGAATAAGCAGAAATTGACTGAGCAACAGGACGTGTGAAAATGACCTAGGGACGTTATTTGCCAGGAAAACAGATGGGGGCCTTAACCTGCAGGTAAGAGGTGAACACAATCTTCACAGGGTAGGTTCTGAGTCCCCTCTGTTCTCAGGCAGAGGCTGTATGAAGCCAGGAGCCAGTCAGGACAGGGTGGGCTCCAAAATCCATGTCCCAAGAAGGGCTATGGCCATTTATCCCAGAGCAGCCCTTGTGAACTTTTGTCATGTGAGAGAGGACATGAGTTTGATTTGCCATTATGGGCATCCTTTGTAGGGCTGGTGGGTGAAGGTTTTAGAAAGAATACCTTTTAGCTTGGTGCTTAAAGGACCCGCCAGGCTGCTTTTCGCTGATATGTTCAAAGAATTTACATCAGGACTTCCTTGGGGGTCCAGTGGTTAAGACTCCATGCTCCTAATGCAGGGGATCCAGGTTCAATCCCTGGTCAGGGAACTAGATCCTACATGCTGCAACTAAGACCTCATGCAGCCAAATAAATAAACAAATACTTTAGAAAAGAAAAAAGAATTCATATCACAGACCATGTTTTAGAGTCCAGATTCCTGACTTGGATGGCGGGTCAGACTTTAGAATTGGGTGATACGTAAAATGGTGTGATGTATCAAGTTGCAGTCCCAAGTACATATTTGGGTTACTTTGCATAGCATGTAGCGAACCTGGAAAGCAGTGACTGTGCTAAGACCTTTTTTCTTTGTCTCTTCTCCTTTGCAGAACGTCCCCACGATTGGTGTCATTGCTGTCGTCTTAGCCACGCATCTGTGCGATGAAGTCAGTTTGGCGGGCTTTAGCTACGCCCTGAACCAACCCAGAACCCCTTTGCACTACTTCGACAATCTCTGCATGGCTGCCATGAACTTTCAGACCATGCACAATGTGACAACAGAGACCAGTTTCCTCCTGAAGCTGGTCCGAGAGGGCGTTGTGAGAGATCTCAGTGGAGGCATCTATAGTGAATTTTGAACCCAAAAAACCTCACTTGAAAATGCAGCTCTGGGGGACTTCCCTGGCCATCCAGTGGTTAAGACTCCATGCTTCCAATGCTGGGGGCCCAGGTTCAATCCCCATTCTGGGAACTAAGATCCCACATACTGTGAGGCACAGCCAAAAAAGAAAACAATGCAGCTCTGACCCAGAGGGCTGTTTTTCACAGCCTTCTTGATGAATCTCGTTCTGCAAGTACTTTGAAGTGCAGCCAGTGTTTTTTAGCTTTTAATTTAAAAAACAAAAGCAACCACAAAAGTTCTGCTTTTCCCACTTTCTCCCCCTATTTATTTGAGGCCAGTGTTTTTGCACAAAATTTTGTAAGTTAATTTTGAGAATGGGAAAGATTTCCCAAAGAGAATTGTATGTCATGATGTTTTATTGTATGGTAAGGAAGTTATTTAATTTGTAAAAGCTCTGTTCCTGTCTACTGCACACAGAATCCCAGGTCATTACATGGAAGAAGGGAGGTGACTCCTTTGATGACAGTCCCGAATGCCTGATTCTGGGTCTCTGTTAGTCTGTTTGGTGGGACAAATGTCGCACGCACTTTCAGGGTGACATGCTCGGTAGTTAAACCACTGGTTGGGCCAAGCTAGTGTGTGAGGCCTGGGCCACTTGGAGAATTCACGGTCCCTCTCTCTTGATCTGCCTTCCACCAGAAGTCTTAGAGGAAGCAAGCAGGAGAAGTATCCTGGAAGCCTCTGGTCAGGGAGGGACACTGAGACTCTTTCTGTGTCCTCTGAGCACTGATGCAAAGCTGCCCTGGGTGGCAGAAGCCACGATCTTCCCCGCAATTAGGACAACTCTTAGATTTCTGGGAATTTTTAACTTGCCCTTCCAAACACTTAAGTGTTCATCCAAATTATTCCACTGTCTTCTCTGAGGTGGCTTATAAAAATTAGCACAAAACCTCTAATCTCTGGAGTCGTAGGGGAGTAAACTCTTTCTGGGAATGTTTTCGGAAACACTGAAATGAAATCTTCCCAGTGTTATAAATTGCCTATTTAAAAAAAAATTTTTTTTTTTTTTGAATGCCTACTTGGCAGTGTGTACCAGGCAGTGTGCCGGTCAAAAAATAAATAAATAAAAGCTTTTGAGGAACTCCTACGAGCTAGTTAATTTGAGTGTTTTTTTTTTTTTAAGAAAAGAAGTTTATAAGTGTAGTAAAATGTCCTTCTTGGATGCCCCTGCCAGGCAGGACCTCACTGTAGGGACAGTAGAGGGGGGATGAAGGGACCTCCCGCTCCCCCTGTGTCTCTTCTCCAGCTCCCTAGGTACCGCTGCCCCCTCCCCCTGCAATTCTTATGTCACCCACAGCCCTGGTGCAGCTCTGACCCCCAGACAAGGCCAGTGGCTCCCACATCTGCCAGCTTCTCGGCCTGCGCAGGGCAAAAAGCTGGGTCATAGCCCTGAACAAGTCCCTCGGATCTCCAGGGGTCTGGGGCCAAGCTCAGAAGGGCCCGAGTAGCTAAATAGCATTTCTCTGATTTTATATCTTTTCTTAAAATTTTTCTATAGATTTTGCTTTCTACTCTTTAAGACACATCTCACCCATTAAATGGTGAGACTTAAGGGCTTCCCTGGTGGCTCCGTGATTAAGAATGCACCTACCAATGAAGGAGACAGGTTTGATCCCGGGTCCGGGAAGATGCCACATGCCTTGGAGCAAGTAAGCCCATGTTCCACAACTATTGAGTCTGCACTCTAGAGCCCAGAGCACTGCAGCTACTGAAACCCACATGCCTAGAGCCCATAAGGGAAGCTACTGAAACCCAGATGTTTATTTAAGAAGATAAGAAGCAGCTAGGGCCTAATGCTTGGACAGCTTTCCCAGTGTTGTGTCCACCACCTCATGGGTGTGTGTGGTCCTGTGCCCCTGCCTTGCACAAGCGTTGGGAAGCAGTCAGTCCAGCACTTGCCAGCTTTCATTTCAGCTAATGTCAGCCCTGGGCCCATGCCTCTCAACTTTTCATTTCTAGCAGGCATTACGTGATCTAAATCAGTGCTCCCCAACCTTTTAGGCACCAGGGGCTGATTTCATGGAAGGCAATTTTTCTACAGATCAGGGGGATGCAAGTGATGGGGAGCAGCCATAAATATAGATGAAGCTTTGCTCAATCGCCCTCCACTCACCTCCTGTGTGCAGCCCAGTTCCTGACAAGCCACGGACTTCTTAAGAGTTCCTTGGACTGCTAGGAGATCAAACCAGTCATTCCTACAGGAAATCAACCCTGAATATTCATTGGAAGAACTAACACTGAAACTGAAGCTCCAACACTTTGACCACCTGATGAAAAGAGCCAACTCATTAGAAAAGACCGTGATGCTGGGAAAGATTGAAGGCAGGAGGAGAAGGGGGCAGCAGAGAATGAGATTGTTGGATGGCATCACCAACTCCATGGACATGAGTTTGAGCAAACTCCAGGTGATAGTAAAGGACAGAGAAGCCTGGCAAGCTGCAGTATATGGGATCGCAAAGAATCAGACACAACTTAGTGACCAAACAACAACAACAACAAATGAAGGTCCCCGGGTAGCTGCCTGTGGGACCGACACCCGCTTCCCAGATGCTGACCCTCAAGATGGACCACATGCTCAGCTCTTGAACTGAAGTACAGACCACCAGGTGAAGAGACTGAGGACTTAATGCACTACCTGCCCTTCCCTGGAGGGCCAGACACCCTGACCCAAATTTCTTAGTCTCTTTCTCTTCTTTCCTACATCCCAAGGCCATTCTAGCCTGTTTTTGTGTTCACAGAACAGGGAATTTACCTGTATTTACCTACAACCAACACACACACACACACACACACACTCATATATGATTTATAGATATATATATATTTAGCAAAGAAAATCAGTTTCAAGAAAATTGGTTTTAAAGACAAAGAATTCCCTGGTGGTCCAGGGGTTAGGACTCTGAACTTTCACTTCCAAGAGTGGGGTTTCAGTCCTTGGTCAGAAACTAAGATCCTGCAAGCCTTGCTGCTGCTGCTGCTAAGTGCTTCAGTCATGTCTGACTCTGTGCCACCCCATAGACGGCAGCCCACCAGGCTCCACTGTCCCTGGGATTCTCCAGGCACGAACGCTGGAGTGGGTTGCCATTGCCTTCTCCAATGCATGAAAGTGAAAAGTGAAAGTGAAGTCGCTCAGTTGTGTCTGACTCTTCGAGACCCCATGGACTGCAGCCTACCAGGCTACTCTGTCCATGGAATTTCCCTGGCAAGAATACTGGAGCGGGTTGCCATTTCCTTCTCCGGGGATCTTCCCAACCCAGGTATGGAACCCGAGTCTCCTGCATTGGCAGGCAGATTGTTTTTATCACTGAGCCATCTGGGAAGCCCATAAAATGTTGGTTAGGTCCTTGATATGAAATACCTCTCTAAATTATCAGATGGTAATAGATTAGCAGAGAGAAAATGTGCAGATAAGAGCAATTAATGACTAAAATAAAGCTCAAAAGTAGTTTCATTTTGTTACCTGTAACATACCCAGATATCCTCTCAGGATAATTCATTTAGGGTGGGAAGAAATTGACTATCAGTCCTAAAGCAATGAGAATTTGAGAGTACATCCGGAACTAAGTTATAAACTCTCAAGTGACAGAATTTTATACTTTATTTTATCTGTAGCACCCACATAGCTCAACGGGCTTCCCTCATAGCTCAGTCAGTAAAGAATCTGCCTGCAGTGCAAGAGACCCAGGTTCAATTCCTGGGTTGGGAAGATTCCCTGGAGAAGGAAATGGCAACCCACTCCAGTATTCTTGCCTGGAGAATCCCATGGGCAGAAGAGCCTGGCAGGTTACAGTCCATGGGGTCGCAAGAGTCGGACACGACTTAGCGACTAAACCATAGCACCCACAAGAAGACCTTGCCTATTGTTGACATTAAATAAATATGTTTGATGTTTTAAGATTTTTCTTTCTTCCTTATGGCTGCACTGGATCTTCATTGCTGCACACGGGCTTTCTCTAGCTACAGCTAGTGAGGGCTACTCTTTATTGTGGTGCTCAGGCTTCTCATTGTGGTGGCTTCTCTTGTGGCATTCTAGGCACTTGGGCTTCAGCAGTTGCAACACGAGGGCTCTAGAGCATAGGCGCAGTAGTTGCTGGGCACGGGCTTAGTGTTCTGAGGCACGTGGGCTCTTCCCAGACCAGGAATTGAACTGATGTCCCCTGCGCTGTCTGGTGGCCACAGAGAAGTCCAAATATGTTTGAGTTTATTTGATATCTTTGGTGGAATTTGAAGACAGTCAGCTGATGGTTTAAGATTGTTGACGGTGAACTCTTGGGTCTATAAGCTGAGTTAAGGAAGTCTTTTATGCTAAGGGGAAGGGACATATAGGTGATTAATGCAATAAATAAATGCGGTCACAGTAAGCACTTTGGGCAGGAAAGAGCTCTCTGCAGAGGTCCCTTGGCACTATTTTAAACCAGGCACCACCCATGCTCTACTCACTTCAATCCCTCACACACCTTTCAGATCTTTTGATCACACAATACCTTGCCTAATGTGTTGGTTCTTTCTGTTGATCAAAGAAGCAGAAATGAAGAATAAGTGCTAATAATTTACAGATGACCAGATAGTGTCCCTCCTTTCCTGCTTAGTAATCTTGAGAACAGACTGTGTGAACAAGAGAGCACCTAAAGAAAAATCACAAGAAGTCGGCAAGGCTGCACACCATGGGAGATGGCGAGGACTCTGACCCCCTGTCTCAATGATTAACTGAGATTACTTCCCCTTTTTCCCTTCAAAAACTTTCATGGCCGAGCATAAACTTTGGAGATGGTTTGAGGGGTGGCATTGAGTCCAACATCTCCCCAGATGGCTGGCATTCTAATTAAAAGTAACTTTCCTTTCTACCAACACTTGTCTCTGTCTTGCCTATAGATTTTTTAAAATATCTATTTTTGGCTATGCTGGGTCTTTGTTGCTGTTCTTGAACTTTCTCTAGTTGCGGTGAGCAAGGGCTGCTCTTTGTTGGGGTGCTTAGACTTCTCACTGTTTTGGCTGCTCTTGGTTTGGAGCACAGGTTCGGTAGTTGTGGAGCACCGGTTAGTTATCCTGTGGCATGTGGAATCTTCCCAGATCAGGAATTGAACCCATGTCCCCTGTATTGGTAAGCGGATTCTTATCCACTGGACCACCAGGGAAGTCCTCATATATTGACTTTTGAGCATCGAACAGCTGGACATGAGTTCTATAATACCACTTTTTCTTTATATAATTATCCTAACGATTTAAATGATATTTTAAATAACGTGTAAAAACTTATTAGTTCTGTTTAATGGCTGTATCATGCCCATATGTTTTTGAAAACCAATTTATTGCAGAAGTTTCTAAAATAGAAGTTTAATCTGTGTACCTTATCTTTTCAAATACCCACCAAGAGGTATGTATCGCAGTGTGGGTTGGGGTTTCTGACTCTTAACAGGAATTCCTGAATCAAAGGTTCTATGTTTTGCATTTAAGGCAGTCTTAGTGAGTTTATTATATGGAAATTGGAAAACCAAGATAATACATCTCTATTTTACCTACACATTTCTCTTAAAAAAAAAAAATATATATATATATATACATATATATATATATGCACATGGTTTACTCCATAAAGATTATTTTTAAAAGATGATAGAAAAAAAAAAAAAGAGATGATGGGGACTTCTGGTGGTCCAGTGGTTAAGAGTCTGCCTTGGAAGGCAGGGGACTTGGGTTCAATTCCTGGTTGGGGAACTAAGATCCCACATGCCGCAGGGCAACTAAATCTGCAAGTTTTAAATTACTGAGTCCACACACCACAAGTTTTAAATTGCTGAGTCCACACACCACAATTAGAGAGTCCCTGCACTGCAGTGAAAGATCCTTCATGATATAATGATGATCTGGCATGTCACAAGTAGACTGGAGGCAGACAAATGAATAAATATATACAAAAAGAAAATTGCGAAAGATAGGATGCATTTTGAACTGGACAGTCTTTAAAATAATAGTGGACACAGGAATTCCCTGTTTGTCTAGTGGTTAGGACTCAGCGCTTTTACTGCTGGTGCCCAGGCTCAATCCCTGATCAGGGAACTAAAATCCCACAAGTCATGAGGGGCGGCCAAAAACAACCTGCCTTCTGACTCAGGTCTTGTTCTGGAGCTGCTTCCTCTTCCAGTATAAAGAGTGAGTGAGATTCAGATTACACATGCAAACACATACTCCAAACAAGCAAAACTGTAGATTCCAGTGTAAACCAAAAGTCTTGTCTTGAAACAAAAGATTGAGAGGAATGTCCCAGCAGTGTTCTTTTCCTCCCTGTCTTGCCTATGGCTCATTTATGTCACTTTTCTTAGCAAATTTGACCTAAATTTAGGGACACAGTGTGCACTGTGATCCTGAGGGTTGAGCTGAGGAGAAGTCAGAAGGACAGACCCTCTGTCCTCTTACTAACCTCTCCTGCTCGCTCAACACCACCACCATACATGATCTGGAAGCCTAATCAGGAACACGAAACCATCTGGGCGACCTTTTGCTCTCCAGGCAAACATTTCCGGTTCATGCATCCCGGCCTGGAGCCCCCATCTGGAAGGGGTGGTCAGTCTCAGTTCCAATTACACTGTCCAATTAGCAGGTCAAATATCCTGATTTTGGCTTTAAACAGTATAATCACCATACTCATTGTTTTATATACTTATTCCTAGTGACCTATTTTTTGTTTCTTAAAAAGTATTTATGGGGCTTCCCAGGTGGTGTAGTGGTTAAGAGTCTGCCTGCCAGTGTGGGAGATGCAAGAGATTCGGGTTCGATCCCTGGGTTGGGAAGATCCCCTGGAATAGGAAATGGCAACTGGCTCCAGTAGCTTACCTGGAAAATTCCATGGACAGAGGAGCCTGGTGGGCAAGAGTTCATGGGGTCACAAAGAGTTGGATACAACTGAGCGACTAAGCATACACACACACACACACACACACACACAAAGTGTTGATGCCAAGACATTTGGAGTAGCTTTCAGAAAGGGTTCTCCTGACCCTTGCATCTCAGCCTGCAGCTGCTTCAAAGTCTGCAGAATTTCCCCCAAACCTCTCTCTATAAAAGAGCTAATACTGATTTTCTTCCTGTCTTCCCTTTCCTCTGCCCACCCCACCCCCTGTTCACATCCTGTACTGAACATTGATTTAGCGTCTCTCCAACTAGAAAGAATCCTTCCTCTTCAGGAAGTTGGCAGAATTGAGCTGACAACTGAGGAGTTTCTGGCCTGCAGAGGGGAGCCAGATTTAAAAACCACAGACTTGTTTCTGTTTGTCAAATGTCAAAACTTCCTGCAGAAACAAAAGACTATCTGATTTCTGTTGTCCAATTTTGGATACTTCTGGAAAAATAAAAAACAATGTTAAATATAATTTAGCACTGAGATATGAAATAGAAGAAAAGCTAATTTAGATCATTTTTCATTTCCTTAGCCTTTTTGAAGTCTCTGTGTATGACCTCCTTTGCATAACAAACTTGTGTTGCAGTAACCCTGCAGCTGTCTGGCTTATGCACTGAGGAAATCTAAAACCTCTATTAACACCCATTGGTACAGCTCTTTTATTTATTTTTTTTTTTTGGTGGCAGGGGGAGGGACGATGCTGCACTGGGTCCTGGTTGCAGTGTGTGGGATTTCTCTAGTTGTGGCATTCAGGCTTAGTTGCTCTGAGGCATGTAGGATCTTAGTTCCTTGACCAGGGATCAAACCTGCGTCCCCTGCATTGGAAGCCAGATTCTTAACCATTGGACCACCAGGAAAGTTCCCAGCCTCGTATGAGAGAAAAGAGCGGGAAATATTTTGAAGTGTTGATCCTATGGGCCAACAGACCAAAGTTGGTATGTCCACAAGCAATCGCATGCTTTCACATTATTGTCATTGTCTGGCTCAAGGGTCTGCTGTCTCCATCTCTGGGAGAGGGTCTGACCAAGTCAGAAAAAAGACCATGTTGACTCCTACCTGCTCCAGATGCAGCCCCACATTCTCCAAAGCTTGGAATTGAAACCAAGTTTCAGTTTTTTGTTTTTGTTTTTTTCCCACACACTGAAATATACCAGCTCCTGGAATACAAAGGTGAGAGCAACAGTGACGGGTCCTTCTGCGGACTTGATTCTGTGGCTCTGGCTAACCATTCTGGCAGACTGTTCTGTACTGAGCACCATTTGTTCAAATGCTGAAAACAGCTGATGCTCTGCTTGTGGTTCCAAACAGATGTTCTTGGCTGTATCTTAGTACTCAGTGGCCTGGCCCCTGACGATCCTGTCCTGTGACACCGGGTGCTGGCCATCGCTGCTCTGCCAGCACAGTCATCCTTAGTGCAACTGCCTTCCTAGAAC